GTGTCCTTGGGATTGGCCTTGACTCCTCTGCCTGCCAGACAAGCTCTCGGGTCTGGGTGTGTGTTGAGAAAAGCCCAGCCCTGAGAAGAGTTTTCAGGCACATCAATGCAGTTGCGTGATCTCCAGAGAGGCTGAGGGGAGAGGTCACACGAACCATCAAAAAAAGGCTCCTGTGCATATCCCGTATGTTTCTTTTACGTGTGTGGCGTCCCTGGAGGCTTGGGGCCAGATCTCTTGTGCTCCCACTGACCGAGACGAGGCGTCCGGAGACGAAACAATATGGCATGAGCCCTGAACATGGCGTCGTCCCTCCGGCAGGCAGTGGCTTTTGGTGGTGGTCATTGTGTGACCACGACGGTGTTCCCCGCCTGGCCGGAGCCCTCTCCCACCAACCACAGCCACCGGAGAGAAGTGTCAAGCGATAGGGGGGTGATTGGCCGGCGTGACGCCCGTTTGATGTCTGGGACACTTGAGGTTGTACAAAATTTTGTTCGCATATCTCCCTGTGGCGATATCTTCTTGACCAATGTCGAGACATACGAGCGAGCCGAAGCCGGTGTGGAGGCAGGTCTTTCATGTTGGTCCCTTGCAGGAACAGATAACCGACACAACAGAGGCGGACAGAAAAGGCGGACTGAAGAGAAAACAGGCGAGGCTACGGGAATGGGAGGGGGGTGTCGTAAGTCTAGCCAACCAGGCTGTGCAATTCAATATTTTCTTTCCCTCTTCACCGGGCATTTATCATGCTGCCTGCCTCGAAAGGGCTGATCCTCCTATGCCGGAGACTTTTTTGGGAGTCTGGCGTTGCTGACAATTCGGAAATTCCTGGGATCACGCCTCCCATGCGCGCGCACGCAGAGCTAAATCCTCACATCAGAACGTGGCAGGCGATAACTGCCGTGCAGTTGATCAGGGTTGTTAGCGCGCTGATAGATCCGAGAGAGGGCAATGCTCCTTCTCGGTCTGTTGGTGAGAAAAGTGAGCTATCAGATCTCCACGAGACCCCGTGCGTGCCCTGCCACGCGTTGGAAGTTTGGAAGGCACAGACAAGGGACGTTTCTTTTTCTCGGAATCTTCGGAGAGCGAGGAAGACCTTTTGCTTTTTTGCTGCTGACACCCTTCGCCGGTCAGCATTTCGCCTTTCTGATACCGGCATGTAAGGATCTTTTCGTGGACGAACTCCCCAGCCGCCCATCACGAACATGAGGATGAAACCACAAGGTCCCAATGCTGATGGCCATGTCAGCAGAATGAACTGCTGGTGGGTGGTCACATCGTTCGCATCAGTGTTGCAGACATTCATTTCCCTGTCAGCTTCCTGCTCACTGTGTTTGGCCTTGTTGGTTGATACTGGTCAGTCTCCGTCCGTCTGGATCGATGGCTAGTGGGAAATAGCATCATATCGATGCTCCCATCAATGCTCCCATTGTTGCGCAACGCACTGGCGCCGCTAAACAGATAGGCGCGACAGGGTTCAGCTGAGCTTGGTCAAATGTTGGGCCGAACTCCGAACGACACCGGAAGGTCTCAGAAGGGTCAAGCCCTGGGCGGGCTGAAGGAATGAGACAGATGATGTCAAAATTCACGATTCACACACCCGCGGCCAGCAGGCATCCTTCAAAATCCTCTCATCACCCATTCAAGATTCAAACCTCAATTTGGATCCCGGTTTGGGAGCTGAAACTGTCTCATGGCGGGCGGGGACTACTGTGCAAAGGACTTATCGGCTTTACGTGATGCCATGGAAATTCCAAGCTCGATCAATATCAAATTATCAATCACCAGCTCGGCAAAAATAACAAAAGGGTCCTTCGTCGTTGGTACTGTAGGTATCGCTTGAAGGAAGGCGAAGATGTCTGCTGCAGGGGAACACCAAACCACCAGGCGGGTGGCTGCCAGTTCTGTTTACACTTGCCATTATTGGCAGCTGTAGATTGACCGTTGCACCAATTTTCTGTTTGGGTCCCTCATTCCCTCTCCCTCTCATCCTCACCCTCTGCCAGTCGTTTGGCTGGCACTCATTTCAGCTGGCAGTACGGATGATATCGTCAGGGTTCACATCTCGCAGTTGGAATGGTACCCAGCATGGGAAAGGGGAGCAGACAATATCGGGGGGGAGGGGTCCCGTCGACGATGACACCCCCGCGAAATACCAGCCAACGACAATGACATCGACTCCTTGGAGTGTCCCCGAAACGACAACGACAACGACGACAGACGCAAGAACCCGCTCGGATTGCTCTTTGTGGCTCCATCTTATGGCTGAGATGCATGTGCCTGCTTCCACTCGGCGACGCGGCTTGCCCGAATGGGGTTGCGAGGGCAAGAGATAAACCTGCTGGTGCGACGTCGAAGGTGAGGGGGCGGGGGAAGGTTGCTCTGCATCCCCCCATTCCCCATCCCCCATCCTACACACAGTAAAACTTGGGGCTTATAATACTTACAGTAACACCGAGGCAGCTATTCTGCGATCACGGCCTACCAACTCCGTCCTTGGTAGTAGCATGGCGTGGCACTCTGCGGGCTCCCGTGGGCGGGTGGAGAGACGAGAACAGATGACGACTCTGTTTATCACAGCGGCGAGACGACGACGACGACGACGACTACGACGCTACCCGGATGGAGCTTGTTGCAGCTGGGAGCCTGGCTGCCGGGTCGTCGCCATCACCGTCGCTGTCGTTGGACATGACCAACGTCGTTGCCATTGGCCCACCCCGCACCGATGCGGCCGCCGTCTTCCCGTCACAGCCCTCATCCAAGCCTTCGGTCCTCGACTCTACTCCGTGCCGCGGGCAGGCAAAGCATGCAACCCAGACTCCACGGGGAAGGAGGGGGACACAAGTTCACCAGAGGCCCCTCTTGGCGATGATGATCCCCTTCCCCCCACGAGCACACCACCACCTCACTCCCAACAGCACCATCACCACCTCTGACAAAGAGGTAAGCCCTCCACCTCCTCAGGGCAGCGCCCATCCCCCATCTTCCCCTTCGTCTCGTCATGCGAGATATAGCCATGTCTCGGCTGCACTGTGGGAACGCAGCATGCTCACCCCCAACTCATGCGGTCCCTCCACTCACAAAGTCGCTCATCCCCTCCCCCTTCACCACCATATTTCTTAGCGCGCGCAGGTTCCAGCTCGTGGGAGTGGATGGATGGCGTGCATATTCTTCTACTTGTGGTCCCCTTCCTCGACCCTCCCCGGCCGCGCCTACCTGCAGCTGTCAAGCCTCCCTCTCCACCCCACCATTTCCTTCACCATCAGAGACACACATGGGATCCCTCTTCTTGTCGGGGCTGCAACCGGTCCCATTGGCCCGTTACCGCGTGCCTGCAATATCAGCTGTCCTGCGGCCAGAGACAAGCAGGATAGGCGTGGGAGGAGAAGAAGAAGATCATCGTCTCTTTCATGTGACCCGGGGCAACGATGGACGCCGTGATTGGGGGTGTCGTTGATATTGCTACTTTTCTTGTCTCCTAGATGGATCAGCTGAGTGGCTGGTCGGGGTCCCTTTGGCAATCCATCTGTCAAGAATTCCTCCTTGGAAGATGATGGCGCAGCGCATGTATGCCGGGTGGGCAGCTTTTGCTACGTAAGTGTCACTTCATGGTGGCAAGAGAGAGAGAATGTGGTGGTGTTGATGGGGAGAGAAGAGGGAGCAGCAGAAGTGGACCGTTCCCGCCTTCTCTCGGCCATGTGACGGCACGCGTGACCACGACTACGACCTACCTACGAGTTGTAGTGTAGGGCCGGGAAACGGAAAAGGCCCAGAGATGTGGTGGTTGCCGTGAGGTCTTGGTGGGGAGGCGAATGGACAGGAAGTCCTCGTTTGTTCCCTTCTGCAAGGAACACTGCCGGTGGAAAAGCAGGGCCGCGCTGATCATCTGGCACTGCCGGGCTTGCGGTTCCCTGTTTTGTCTCCTGTTTTCGCCTTCCCGGTGTGTGTGTGGTGGCATCTATCGATCGCAGACCTTTTGCGAGTGCCGGCGGGAGCGGAACGGAAGGTCCTTGGGGGGGTATCGTCTCGCCACGCGGTGGCCGGGCATTCATGCCTTGTCATGAGAAAGGCCTGGTGACTGCTCCCTGATGTTTTCATCTCTTTTGTCCTGCCTGGGAACTTGTTAGGTTGTGGAAGGCAGGTGATGTTGCATATCAAGTTTACGTTATGAAGCAGGGCGTGATATGATGGAAGACTCTGGGCATGTTTCGAGAGAAACCTATTCCCCGAGTCTCATGTTGTCTCTCTCATCCCCAGCACCACCAGTGATACCTCACCCGCTTGCACTTCTGAGAGCGATATTCCTTGGGGACGATATTGTCCACCAACGCACACACAAGAGCGGTGTGTGGGCGTCGGTTACGCATGGAAGGGCAAGACAACAAGTTGACTGACAGATCTGCGTGCGACAGACAGCCAGGTCGAGGCGGTGCGACGTCTCCGTGTCTCTCGGTTCCCAGCTAGTGCTTGCCATCGACCGCCGTTAGGTTGCTGTACTCGGTGTCGTGCAGGTGAGTCGGATCGAGGTGGCGAGGCGAGTTAAGATGTCTGATACCACCTGTCAGGTTTTGGTGTTGTGGTTGTACGGTCGGTGGTGCTAGGCGCTTTGTCTCTTGTCTGGCTGATGTTGAGCTATGCTCTTGGTGCTGGTCGGGACTTGTTGTTCCATGCAGTGGCCTATGATGGACTCTGTATCCATGGTTATTGCCGGGTTGTAGGGTGCTGATTCCTGCTTCGTTCCACTGGCTGCGATTGAACTCCCCCTTTTCCTTTCGTTCGTATGTCGGGATATCCTGACCGGCGTTAAATGTATCGGTGAGATATGATATCCAATCAGATTTTCTCATACTGGAGATTGAATGGTTTTGAGAGTTTGATGCTTGAAGACGAAAAATATTGTCTATCTCGTCTCAGGAAAAGGTCTGGTGTATTACGTTGAGTCGAAAACCATTGCCAGTGTCCATGAGCGAAAGTTTGTCCATTGTCTTCCATCAAATACCAGAGCCCGATTAGCTCAGCTGGTTAGAGCGTCGTACTAATATCTGCCTTCTGGCAAATATATGGTATGCGAAGGTCAACAGTTCAATCCTGTTATTGGGCATCCACGTATTCTTTTTGCATTTTTCCCATACTGCTCCCTCTTCATTTTTTTTGTTCAGCCCCGTCTGATATATCATTCCCACACATCGAACACACAGGTGGTCATCTATCAAGAAAACAGACTGCGCCTCGCGGACAACGTAGATCTTGCCACTGCTCAACCGGTCAGAAAGCAACCACCACCGACAACCCCCTCCTTCCTTATCACGCCTCCCAACCCAGAGCCAACCACATCCCAACCTGGTTCTCGCCACCTGCCACGAAAACACCAACGCACACGAAAACACGAAAACCCGACACGGGCGCGGCTGCCTGCAGGATCGGAGATGGCACGACATGCGCGACGGGAACGGCGACGACGATGACGGGGAGGCGGGTTCAGTCGATGCGCCTAGCCGGCGATCGTACGAGACTCGTGTGTGTGTGGCTGACCGTGAAGCCGGCCAGCAGCATCCTGTATCTATCTACCAAGAGGTAGACGTTGCGCCGGTGCTGATGCCCCGGCCGGAGGGCAAGAGGAAGAGGGGGGGGCGGGTAACGGAGGACGAGCTTCACGGGGCAAGGGGTCCCGAATCCAGAGGCTTCGAGGACGAAGACTATGGTCCACTGCCGGGGACCCTCCCGTCGGGCAGGCAAAGGGGGGGCGTGCTCATAGAGTCCGCCCGCATGCTGTACCATGGCGTACGGAAACGACATTTCACCAACATGCCTGGCGGACCGGACTTCCCGGGAGATCGCACCGGCGATACGTGGGCGCGCGGGGGAGATACGGGGTCGGCAACGGACTGGGGGTTGGGCTTCACCTTGTCTCGCTCACGCCGGGTCCGTCTGCTTTCACCTAGACGATGTTATATCCGAGGCATTACCAAAGGGCCAGGCCCGGGTGGAATCAGATCCCTATCTGGGTGGTGATGAGGTTGTCATATCACGTTGGCGAGACGGACCAGAAGGCTGGCGGGAGCTTGTCCAGTAGGTACGACTGCCCTTGTGGTTCTTTCTTTCTCTTACATGCTCACTTCTGCCACCGGGGGGGGGGGGGGGTAGCAGACACGAGCCTGGGAAGGGACTGACAGGTCATGTCAAGCCCTCCTGCCTCCTGCCTCTTGCAAGTCACAACCTCCATCTGGTAAGCACTATGCCACAAGAGAGGTTGAATCGTAGAGTCTCATGTCGTTTGACAAATGGAATCTTGAGATCCAAAACAGGGGACTACGACGAAGGTAGGCGAGGGCAAAAAGAGCATAAAAAGACATACAACACCAGGGATTCGCTGGTCGTCACCGACCCAACTACTAGTCTGGCGGTTACTGGCTTATCTATGGGAGAGCGGACGGGATCCCGAGCTTTCCAGTACCTATGGTCGTATGTGCAAGTCCACGGCTTTCCAGGTACTGATATTGTCTCCCTCCGTAGCCAACGTAGCTCCTCGCCAGCAATTCCGCGTCCCATCCATCCATCCATCCACCGAGGAGGCCGACACCACTGAGGGCCCCATACACATATGTCACAAGTCTTGTTGCTCCCATATCTTCCTGTCAAGATAGACACAGTGATGCCACGACGCTTGCTTCCCGCTGCCATGACAGGGTAACTGGCAAGGGGGGATACCCGGGGTCAAGATACCCTCACGGACGGGCGGAACTATCACATCAGTGACCCTTCTCACACCGGCGTATAGGCAGACATCTCACGAGTCAAAGTGAACCTGAACCGGCGCGAATTGTTTTCCCGCCTCAAGCATACGAACTCAGCGACACACCACCGCACTGCTACCCCCTTGCTACTCGTACCTTTTTCTATTGGTATCACTACATGTCCTGGAGAGAAAAAAGAAACTAGCTCGACGTCGACGAAACAGACGTACCCAGAGATACGAGCCAGGTGGTCGAAGAAAGCAGCGGAAAACAATGACAAGGTCGTGACGGAACCTCTTCAATTATGTTCTCGCCCTTCCTCTCGGCCCCAACGTGACAACGACGCAAAGATGAATCCACCCCGCAGCAGAAAAACGCCTCCCCTCATCATCATAGCCCGTAAAACTCCCAGCCGTCAAAGTGACCGCCTGTATCCGGCCGCCGTCGCGGCAATTCTACGCCTCCCTCGTGCGAAGGGCCAAACTCCGTCCTCAGTTCTTGGGGAAGTCACAAGTCTTCATCCTCCTGCTCCAGCTCCGAGGGCTTGAGCAGACCGCTGACCTTTGATCGGCGCTCGTGCTCGGCTGCTCTGGCCGCCTGCTCCTGCTGCTCCTTCTCGACGAGGTAGAGCTCGGCATTGTCGCCGGCGAACTCGCGCAGGGAGATGAGGAAATCGCGGAGGGCGAGGCGGAACTTCTCGTACTGCATATTCAAGGCGAACATGCTCTCCACGAATGTCTGAATTTGTGGCCTGCAGGTCAATGTTAGCAATCGGCCCTAGGCTGACTGAAGGTCGTTACTTACACAGTGAGGTTCGAAAAGGCGTTCTGCAAGGTGGAGGCCACAAAGTTCCCAAGGAACTCGCGGTTGCTGGTGCCTTGCACAGCTTGGTCGGGCTGGTAGATAGGCCCCTGGATCCTGGGAGTCGAGTTGTCCGCGGGGCTGATGAAGTAAAACATGCGCATGAGCAGCATGGACTGCGCCTTGAACCCGGCCTTGTGGTCCTGATCCGTGACGACGAAGAACACATCCTGGAGGATGGGAATGAAGAACTGATTGAAGAACGCGTTGCATGTAGCAGTGTCCGTCTTCTCGGCGATGTTGTTGATCAGCTCCAGGCACATGTTAAGGCCTGCAGTTTCGACATCGCGATTGTCGTGCTTGCTAGCCCAGAGGCAAGAGTCGATGACAAACTTGAACTGCCTGTTGTCGAGCTTCAAGAGAGCTAAAGAAAAGTTAGTACCAAATGAGAACTGGTCGGTTAGAGACGACTTACCCGGGAAGCAGTGCAAGTTGATAGCACGCAAGAGGTTGAAGAACTCCACGCGGTGCTCCGGGAACTCGGAGAAGTCCTTGTTGATCATCCCCAGGGTGCACTCGAAGATGTTCTCCATAATCAAGGGAACCTGGTCCTCCATCAAGCCCTGCATACGTGAGTTAGCAAAGAGAAACGGGATAAGGGGTGCTGATGTGCTTACCATGAGCTTCGAGATGATGACCGACATCGCCTTGAGCACCTCGGCATCGCGAGCACCAGGGACATTGCGGTTGTAGTCGACCAGGACAGTGTCCAGAAGCTGCGGCACCATTTGGGCACGGACAGCCTGGAGGTCCTCTGCCTTCTCAACAAACGTCTCGATGAGCTTCAGAATCTCCTTCTTGATGGTACGAAGACCCCGAACTTTCGGCATCTTGGTAGCGATTTCACCTGTAAAAACAATAAGCATGATAAAACAGCTGATTGGGGTGGGTAAGCAACTTACCATCACGAGCGACGGCCTCCGAGATGAGCTGACTTGTCGCACTGTACATCTGAAGCATGTCGTTGTAGAGACGGCCGATCTGGGGGAAGAAGTAGGTCCCAATAGACGAACAGGCAGACACGTTTGTCTTCATGATGTTTCCGATGACCTTGATGGTTTCCGAACTCTGCAGAATGCTTGGGTCCACGGTAGCCATCCGGATGATCTCATCCCAGGCAGAGTTGGGAATGTGCATGAGGTCGGACAAGAGCCGCTCCTGGACGGCTCTATTTCCCTGGGCGGCCACCATGTAACCACAGGCCTCGTAGAACGTGTGGACTTGTTGAGGAGTGAGGTCAATGGTGATCTTGGCCAGGCTCCTGATGATCTCCTCGATGAAGGGCTCACTCTCGCTGGGCTGGAGAGCGACGAAGTGTCGTTTGCACTGCTTGGCGATCTTGATAAAGGTATCACACGCCATATCTTGCACGCCTGGAGGGAGTTAGCATCGTGGGGGGAAACGCTGATGTGATTGGGGGTCTTACCTTCGTGGGACTCGTGCATGAACTCGAACAGCTTATTGACGACCGTCTTGAGGAATTTCCAGTGAGCCTTGAGGAAGCGAGGATACTGGCCAACAATGTACATAATGTTGCTGGCCACAACCGCCTTGTTGTCCTTTCCTCGCTTCATCTCAGTCAGTCCGAGCAAGTCCTTGATGACGGTAACAAGGAATCGCTTCTCCGTCTCTTCGTTCATGGCCAAGGAGATGGAGCCAATGGCCCAGCAGAGAACGTTGCAGTTGTGCCACGACCACTCTGACCCGTCAACCTGCTTCTGGAGCTTGTCGGTCATGATCGTCTCCGTGTCGACAACGTCCAAGTGGGTGAGGTAGACGAGACATTCGCGGATTGTCTTGTAGAGCTGAACCGTGTCGGTTTCCTTGACGAACTCGCGGACAATCTCTCCCTCGTCGTTCTCCACGATCAACACCTCCTCGGGTCGAACCATCTTCTCAATCATGACGACTCTCAGGTTCGACAAGACCTCGTTGTAGATGTGCTTTCGGAGTGGGAAGTTGGTGAGCAGTGTCGGGTTTGGCGCACCGCCGGCTTGGATGCCGCCACCATGGACAATGGTGTTCATCTCCCCCATGGGCAGGGTCTGCATCTCTTCATACAACTCTTGTACAAGCTTCAACCAGTAGTCCAGTGTGATCTTGAAGATTTCGCGATCGTCAATCTGCGAGATGCGGATTAGGTAGTAGTGGGCATGTATGAGGTAGTCCCTGTTAGGGAGCTTCTCGATGAGCTAGGACACAAACAAAAATTAGCGTTGGTAGACACCCGGGACACTCGGTCGAACTCACGGGTAGATGCATTCCGAAGAAGTTGCAGAGAAAGAGAGCCAGGTTCTGGATGAACTCCTGGTCCCTGGAGTTGCTGTTGGGATATGTCCCCTTGAGGTCCATCGTGAGGGGGATGATGGTGGAGATTGTCGTCAAAACCTCGGTGAACATCTTGACAAGCTGCTCATCGTAGCTGCTGATCTGGCCCGGCCCACCGGTTTGCAGCCCACCGATCTCAGTCAGGCACTGCAGTGTAAGGTTTCGGAACTCGGGCATC